GCCACCCATGTGCCCCTCTCTGTTTGTTCTCAGAGACTGAGTGTAAGCAGGGAAGAGAGGCAGAGGGAAAGAAAGAGCATCTTAAGCAGCTTTCACAATCAGTGAAGAGCCTCACCTGAGCTGAAATCAAGAGTTGTAGGCTATCAAGGCACCCCAGTATTTGATAGGTCCTCCTTTTGTTATCTATCTAGTTTGTTAATTTTTTTAAGTTTATTTATTTATTTAGAGTGTGTGCGTGTGTGTGTGTGTGTGTGTGTGTGTGTGTGTGATCAGAGGAGGGGCAGAGAGAAAAGGGAGGGAGATCCCAAGCAGGCTCCACACTGTCAGAGCAAGAGCCTGAAGCGAGGCTTGAACTCACAGAGGGTGAGATCATGACCTGAGCCAAAATGAAGAGTTGGACGCTTAACTGACTGGGCCACCCAGGCACCCCTATAATTGTATTTAAATTAAAAGATTTAGGGTGGCGTTGTTCTTCCAGTAGTTGTATGTGTGAAATAATAATACCTTGTTTTTCAAAATACTCTAGAGCAAGTTTCATGCATCATAATTTCCACAGTATCATGATTTATTGGGGTATATGAAGAAATTGATGCCATTTTTATTTCTACTTATTTATCTATACAATAAATCAATGTAGAGCTTACCAATATTTGATGATTTATAATTTATGGGACTACTTACTAAAAATTTATTTTTACTAATAGGCATGAAAAATCAAAAAACGTTTAGACCAAGGACCTGTAACTAGGCGTAATCTGGCTCCTACCCCAGTCTCCCTGGGAGGGCAGGGTCCCATATCCCAGAGCACCAGGGCCCCCTCTCTGAAAAAGAAATTAGAGATTACTATTCTCAGCCAATGAGTTTCAAAACTTTCTTTATCACAATGGGCTTATACAGCCCATCCCAAACCTCATTCTTCAGCTGCTTAGTTCTTGATGGTGTTCACTCCCCACACTCTTCTTCCATCTGGGGTCCCAGTGCCACTAATTAACACCACCTTCTTACTTATTTTGAAAATATGGCCAGTCATTCCAGAAGCCTTCCTATCTCATGCTAATACAATCTGTCACCAAGTCCTATCTATTCTATCTCCTAAATACTTCTTGAATCCATCCCAGTTCTCTCTAACCAATGAGATATATTACCAAGTCTCACCTGTGCTATTTTAATGACACAACCACTGACCCACCCACAACCTCCCCCACCCCACGCCTAGTAGTCTTTCTGCATTCAAACTGATTTCCCTCCTATATTTCACCAAGCAGACATAGTGATCTCTTTAAAATACAAATCTGGTGTTTCCTTCTCTGGTTTAAAAGCCTTTAATGTCTACTCATTTTTCTTAGGATAAAGTTCTCCCTTACTACCTCCGCTCTCTTTTCCATGTTCCACCCAAAGTGATTCCCTTCCAGTTTTCAAATACTATGCTGCTTTCTGCCTTAAGATGTAATGGTGTAATATCAAATGTAATGCTCACTCCGTCTTCAACCTCGGTACCTACTTACTTGACTCACAAACTCCTATTTACCTTTCAGATTCCAACCTAAATGTCAATTGCTAAGGACTCTTCAGAATAGTTCCGGTCTTCAACTCTCAATGTAGCCTGTGCTTTTCTTTTAAAGCATGTATATGTTAATATCTACTGCCCCACTGGCTCATAAGGTTTGAGGAAACAGGAACAATGTCCCTAGTGCTGAACACAGCATCTGACTATTTGTTAAATTAATGAATAGATATGTATATTTAACTGTGGTTAATTCCATACCCTGCCTATTTCCCTAAGTGACTACTTTGGGTATAAATTTTCTGCTTATTCTCATCTCTTTACTAATTTATTCTATAAATAATTGTTCTAGGTACCACTCTCTTTCAGTTGATTTGTGGCTCTTATTTATGTCTCTCAGGATATCATTTATAACCAAACAATTTGTAAAGTTAAGGTTTCTACCCAAACTTGAGTGCTAGTCACTGTACTATCTACCACTTACAAATTGTGGAGATTTGAAGCAAGTTAACTAATTATATTTATTTTGGAGAGTTATCTTGAGGTTTAAGTAATAGAAGGATAATAAAACAGTACAGTTCATAGCACCTAGTTGGAGCTCTGTGAATGTCCTTTTCTGTCTGGCCTCAATAAGTTAAAGAAAAAGGACTTAATCCTTGCTCCCTCCAGGGTATAATTCTGAATCCCTTCTTCCTAAATACTAATCAGATAGATCTCTGAGCGAAATCCAAAGAGGTCTCTCCAATTATAATCCCTTATTAACTTAATGAGTAATTAAGTTTATTGTTTGGTGAGGAAAAATTGGATCTGAGTTCTGTAATTTAGGTTGTTATCTGTGTGCTTAAAAAAGGAGAAAATTACAATTTTCCATGAATCTTATCCTGTCTTTCCCACAACAATCAAATAGAAGATCCATTTAGTGGTCAGGTATAGAGTTAATTCTGGAGCCAGGCAGCCTATCCATGAAGCTACTATGCTGATGTAGGCATGAAGTGAGGAGGACCTGCTGCTAGGACTAGAAAGAAAGGGGAGAGACAGGAGAAATACGCTATAGGGAGGCCTTTCCTGATGATCAACCTAAAGTAGTTACTCTCTACTTACGATTTTGTTCTAATTTTCCATGAGGCACTTACCATTATCTGATATTTTTCTCCTTGGCTTCTTTATTAACTGTCTCCTTCCATTAGAATGTAAGCTCCAAAAGGTAAGAAATCATGTGTGTCCTGTTTGCTGTTATAGACCCAGCACCCAGAACAAGGCATGGCATAAAGCAGCACTCTGCATATATTTGTCGAAAGAATAAGTTGTTACTGAAAACAAGAAGTGACCAAATGTAGTCAAAATAATTTTAAGGTTTAAAGCTTGACCAAGGTAATAAGGTACCAATAACAAGGAGAAATAGTCTTACAGAAGGAGTAGGGGCATTTTTGTTTTACTTTGTTTTCTTGTAGGAGAAGATATGAGTTTTAATAGTTTTAGATATGGTGAGCTGAAATGATGGTAAATCCTAAAAGGTGAACATTTCTGACAGATGGCTACTTATACTACAGGATTCGTTGAAATTGAGATTTAAAGCAAACCAAACCCACTTTAGTTCCAGGACCTTTGCTAGGCCCTAAGGACACAAGGGTGAACAATAGTCTCTGCCCTCTGGGAGCCCATAATTAACAGAAGGAAATAGATAACTAATTCTGATATAAAAGTTACAGTAACAGAATGATAAACACAGTGAAATGGGAATACAGAGGAGGAAATACATAATTCTGCTGACATTGTAAAAGTCCAGGATGTCTTCCCAGGGTGAAAAGATGAGTACTAAACTCTAGGAAAATAAAACTGGGGGAAAGCCCTGAGTTTGATAGTAGTATTCATGTACAACACACAGTGTATGCTCAACAGGTCACTGCAGATGACTGATGGGCATGAGGCCAGGTACTGATTCTTCTTTTTTTAAAAAAAAAAAAAAATTATTTATTTTGAGAGAGAGAGAAAGAGAAAGAGAGAGAACGAACCAGCCAAGAGGGACACAGAGAGAGGGAGAGAGAGAATCCCAAGCAGGCTCCACGCTGTTAGCACAGAGGTAGATGTGGGGCTTGATCCCACCAACTGTGAGAGCATGACCTCAGCCAAAACCAAGAGTCAGACACTGAACCAACAGAGCCACTCAGGTGCCCCAGGTACAGGTTCATTTAAAAAGAGAGTATTCAGGGGCACCTCGGTGGCTCAGTCAGTTAAGCAACAGACGGGAGTTCAGGGCCCACGTTGGGCTCTGTGCTGACAGCTGAGAGCCTGGAGCCTGCTTCAGATTCTGTCTCTCCCTCTCTCTGCCCGTCCCCTGCTCATGCTTGCCTGCTCTCTCTCTCTAAAAAATAAGAAAACATTAAAAAAAAGTATATCCCTGTCTATTTTGCTGATATTAGAAACCATGCTTCTGAAGAATTTTTAGTAATATGAGAAAATTATTGTACTAAGATGGTTTTTAAAAAGGATGATACAGGGGCACACCTAATTTTATAGTGTATTATTTTTTATTTTTTTATTAGTTTATTTTGAGAGAAAGCAGAAAAGGAGCAGAGAGATATATGTGTGCTTTCTGTTTCCTGCTTCATACTCTTCTAAACTGTCAACGTTTCTATAAGGAACTATAAATATTGAAATGTGAAAAATGTAGTTATAGATTCCATTTATTCATTAATTCACTTAACAGGTAAGTATGTGTTTAATGCTTACTGGGTACTTCCCTCGGTGCTAGAATTAGAAGCTTAGAGGTTATTTAAAATAAGCCATTCATCTGAGTGGTTAGAAAGACTCAGAGAAGATATACGACAACCTTTGGTAGGTAGTTAGGGATGGGACTTGAGCAGGGATCAGTCTCCTCTGGTTCTGGACTCTTTTCATTTCATCATCTTGACACTGTGTACAGGAAGGATGTGATTTGACCAAACACGTAATCAAATAGCAGCATGTCCCTTAGAGGGTATTCTTCCATATATACCTTTGATACACTAACTTCACACATTTTGCATATTCAAAAGTTCTGTTTTGTAAGTATTCTTTCTCTATTCTGAACCCTTCACAGGCTGCTCATTATTTCCAAAATAAAATTTAGACTTTGTACCCTAAAGTTTAAGGCCTTCTCCAGTCTGATATTTGCATACTTTACAGATATATTTGGTCTGCTCATTGCTCATGTATAGAATATAACAAATTTATCAGGTGTGCTCTTCATGCTCCATGACTATTCTCAGCTTTTCTCCTATTAAGTAATTTTCTCAACAGAGTGTGTGGCAAGAGGAAGAAAGAGCTAGTGGCTGTTCAATGAGTGGCCAAACTGTCATAAAGGCTTAACTTTTATTTCAGTCACTACTTCACTGGTAGGTGATTATTAGTAAGTGATTTTGGCTTCTTTGAAAAGCCTATACATATTATAGGGGTATTGTTCATTTCTTCGTTTATGAATTCTCATAAATTCACCAGGCTCTATGTTTGGTACTAGGCATTCATCAGAACAAGATGGGCATAGTCTCTGTGGTCCTGGATCTAGAGGGAAAAGACAAAAACACAAAGTAAGTTAGAAGTAAACAAAGTCATTACAAAATTGTGATAAATATATATATTTTTAAAGTTTATTTTTGAGAGAGAGAGAGAGAGAGAGCATGAGCAGGGGAGAAGCAGAGAGAGGGAGACACAGAATCTGAAGCAGACTCCAGGCTCCAAGGTGTCAGCACAGAGACTGGCGGGGCTTGAACTCACAAGCTTGAACTCACAAGCTGTGAGATCATGACCTGAGCCAAAGTGGATGCCCAACTGACTGAGCCACCCAGACGCCCCAAGAAGTAGACGTTCTTAAGACATATTTTGGAGGTAGAAATTATGAAGACGTTATAAAGTAATGAACTAGGCAAATTTAGTAAACCACAAAATACTGTAAAACCTTTGAGTTTTATTACCACCCCTCTGGGCCTTATTGAACTAAGAGGGCTCCACTGACTTACTCTGCTGCCAGTGGGGCACTCTTTATACTGTCTCACCTATCTTAGTCAACTAAATCTGCCCTTCTAAAAAATTTACCTTGTTCTTAAACTCATTTATTCAAAAATTATTGAGCTCTTAGCATAAATCTAAAGGTAAAGGATTTGAATGTAAATTGATCTCAAACATTACATATTGTTTTCATTCAAAGAAATACTTTAAATACAAAAGAAGCTCCCTTATCAAACTATGAGAATTATATGCTAGCGTAAGCAAAGTATGTTGATAGAGAATCAGAACAGAATCATTTTTTTTTGCGCTAGAATTTAAGGTTACAGAGACTCAGCATTTTTATGTCTAAGTAATGACAAATTAACTGAGCAAAGATTTTTAAAAATAACCATTGCATACAAATAAGTCTTTGATTTTATTTTTTATTTTATTAAAAAAATTTTTAATTTTAGAAAGTGCAAGAAGGGGAGAGGGGCAGAGGAAGAGAGAGAATCTTAAGCAGGCTTCGTGCTAACAATGGACTAGATCCCACGAACCTGGGATCATGACCTCAGCCAAAATCAAGAGTCCAATGCTCAAATGACTGAACCACCCAGGCACCCCAGATCTTTGATTTAAGAATCTTTATTTTACTAATAAAATGTAGTATAGTAAGTTAATCTTAGTGAATTTTCCTATATCTTAGTAAGCCCCAATATGCATCTATACAAACAAGTTTCCCTACTTCCCAAAACTAAATGAAAAATGCTTCTTTTGCTCCAGTTTAACCTGGGCATTCTTTGAGGAGTTTTGAATTTCAAATAGATCCAATCACTCCCAAATAATGATAAAGTCTAACCTATCTGCTAGTAAGCCTTTGTTTAAAGTAAATGGATTAACATTTTCATTGTTGGGATTTTCTCCAATCTAGGTTTGATAGATTATCAGCAATTAAAAAAAACACAAACCACTGCTCCATCCTTAGCTCATTCTCCTCATTTCACCCCGCCTTCCCAAAACTCCTTTCTTCCCCACAAGATCTTCCCCCTAATGCTGGCAATAGTCTAATACTTTCCTTTAATCACAATTGCAAAAGTTTTTCTTTGTTGAAAAACTTTGATAAATGTTTGTCTAATATTATTTTTAAGCTCAGTTATCTCTTTAATTTTTTTTAATATGGAGAGAGTTTAATTATTTCTTTACTTTCCCAATAGCATTTTCAGAGCACTTATAGTACTAGACAGACCAAAACAAGATTTTCGAGAGTTCATGCCTCTATCACCTCAAGGGGTGTCCCAATGGTCTCTTTGCTGCTTCATGCCAAAAGCTGTGGCTAGGACTTCTGAGAGTCTGTTTTTTTATGTAATCTTTTTCATTGCTGATTAGCTGCATTGGCTCCAAAGGAGAAAGTAACCTAAGTCCTCTTAACAGGTCTATACAAGTTATTGGGGAATATGAAGAGAGTTTCCAGTGCATGATCAGACCTTGTCAATAAGGCTTTCTTTCTTCCAAAGATATAGACTCTTTCTAAATTTTATTTTGACAGGCTTCATTTTAATTTTGATGACAACAATGAATATTATGGCCTCTTGGCTGGTATCTCCTTTTTTTTTTTTTCCATTTCTTCACAATTTGGTCAAGTGTATGTTCTCAATCTCTGAATGTTTCCTAAACACCGACATTTATAGCTTACATAATTTCATTGTCTCATCAATAATGGAAAATTGAAAAGTAATTATAGTAGATCTTAATCTATGTTCTCTGATATGCATATATATATGTATATATATGGATATAAATTCTGAATGGCAAAGTTTCCATTTATTGCTGTCTCCCTTTGTCCATCTATTCTGACCAGATCTCAGGTGTACATCAGCTATAAGCAACATGACCATTTTTTACAAGAAGAAGCACATCTACATTCTGACAAAAAATGGTTTTATAGCAATGACAGCCCTACACTAAATCCCTGACTTTCTAAGTAGAGCTAGAACTTTCATTGTCAGCATGGAGATATTGGGAACTTTGGAAACTGGAGAGGCATTTGAATGCAGAAGAACCGGCTCAGAAGGAGAGTCTCCAGTTTCCAGTCTGAGCTGGAGATTCTAAGCAAGACACTTAGCTTCTCTGAGCCTCAGCTTCCCTTCCTGTTAAAACAGAACAATTCTGGGGTGCCTGGGTGGCTCAGTCCTTTAAGCGTCTGTGCTGACAGCTCAGAGCCTGGAGCCCACTTCAGATTCTGTGTCTCCCTCTCTCCCTGCCCCTCTCCCACTTGTGGTCTGTCTTCTTTGTCTCTCTAAAAAAGAAATAAACATTGAAAAGGAAAAAAAAAAGAACAATACCTTAACAGGTTCAAAATCATAGCAATGTATTTTATAAAGTGATATGTTAATTGTTGCTATCATTCATTTAAAAGTAAAGGCAACAAGGGGCGCCTGGGTGGCTTAGTCGGTTAAGCGTCTGACTTTCACTTAGGTCGTGATCTCACAGTTTGTGGGTTCGAGCCCGCGTCGGGCTCTGTGCTGACTACCAGCTCGGAGCCTGGAGCCTGTTTCAGTCTGTGACTCCCTCTCTCTCTGACCCTCCCCTGCTCATGCTGTGTGTCTCTCTCTCTCCTAGAAATAAATAAAACATTAAAAAAAAAAAAAGTAAAGGCAACAAAAAATGTTAAAAAGTAAAGGCAAACATTCTACAAAAATAAATAAAAGTAGGAATTTAAAGAATCAAACTTTGGAGAGCCTGGGTAGCTCAATCAGTTAAGCAGCCGACTCTTGATTTCAACTCAAGTCATGATCTCACAGGCTATGGGCTGGAGCCCTGCATCAGGCTCTGCGCTCAGAGTGCAGAGCCTTCTTCAGATCCTCTGACTCCCTCTCTGCTCCTCCCACCCAAAAAAATAAATGTTAAAAAATGTTTTTGGAAAAGTTTTTTAAAAATTAAAAAAAATCAATCAAACATTGGAGACCCTTCCAAAAATGTCTTGTCCTCATCTGAATTTCCCCCCTTTCTGTTAAATTGCATTACGTCTTCCTTCCAAAACATAAATGTTTGAAATAATACACATTCCCTGTCATATTTTAAAAGAGCTCTGCAAATAGCCAGAGTTAATCAGTGATTCACAATTAGATGTGTTTTTTTTTAAATGTTTTATTTATTTATTTCTAGGAGAGAGAGAGAGACAGCGTGAGCAGGGGAGGGTCAGGGAGAGAGGGAGTCACAGACTGAAACAGGCTCCAGGCTCTGAGCTGGCAGTCAGCACAGAGCCCGACGTGGGGCCTGAACCCATGAACCGCGAGATCATGACCTAAGCGAAAGTCAGACGCTTAACCGATGAAGCCACCCAGGTGCCCCCACAATTAGATGTTTTGATGGGAAGTTAAGACAACTACACTGAGAGTAAGGGAGTTATATTAAGGAAGAACAAAGCAATCATTAGGAAATAAGACATTTTCAAGGAATTGGAATAGGCCCAAATGGAGGGAAGTAGTGAGGACTTGGGACATCAATGGGACCTTGAAGAATCACCAGCAAGAGAGAGAAATGGGGAGAAAAATGTGGAGACGACAAAACAGACTTCACATTTTCTAGAATTTTCTCATTATATAGAAAATGGGGGAAAGCTCTCTTTATTCCACTGTCCTCAGTTATGCTTCTAGGACCCAGCATTCAAGCAAGTGATATATATATAAGATTAACCAGGTTTTTGTGCACTTGCCTAGGAACTCAACCATCACAGTGTTTCTGAAAGAAAAATGTATTCCAACTTCCAAAGAGCCAACCCTCAAATGCATTTTTGGAATGCAATCTGTTTGAAAGTGAAATAACCAGGCAGCCTGTATAAGTTATCTTCTGAAAGAGTTTGCAGTTAGAAACATATCAGCTTCTGTGCAAAAATGTTTTCTAATGGTGGCTGAACCTTTTGTAGCTATCTTACATATTTTTTGGAAGGAGATGGGGTTGAAATATATAAATGAGGTATATAGATAAAAAACATTTAGGTAGATAATTTTTAAGACAGAGCTGTAGAATGGTTTCACCAAATTCAGAGATCCTGAAGATCTCTTTTTTTTCATAGCCCTGGAAGCAGTTATTTACTTTAAGGTTATAATGGGGCATCCGTAAATAATATCCTAAGAATAATCTCATCTATAATAAATCATATCTGTATGAAAAAAAGCTCTGTAAAACACGTGTAGTATTGTAGTTGTGGCTGTGGTTTATTAACCCTCTCTGGAGTATTTAGAATCACACTTACAATTTAAAAATTAAAATGTTAGGTTGGGGTGAAATAATTTCCAAAGTTCAACAAGTACTTGAACTTTTTTCAATCAGGATAGTTATAACTTAGAATTTCTCCTACAGTAATTTTACTCAGATAAGTGATATGAATAATGAATTATTCATTACTAAATTATTCCAGCCAACTCATTCCTTTTACATACTAGCTTATTATGACTGCAACCCTAGTAAAATGTGTGTTCAAGAAAAGAGCTAACTTATTTTTCTTTCTAAGGGAAGTCACCCATTAGTAAGATCCAGACCAGGACACTCTTCTCCAGAAAAATGCTAAACCAGATGACCTATCTGGACAATAGGCATAAAACAGGACTAACTTGGAAAATCACAAGTATGGGTCCCCATATATAGCTGCATTTTGGCTGCCCAAATTTCCCTCTCAAGATAGCATGATCTGTGATAGAGGGGAGATAGTATGACTTAGTGCCAAGAACACTGGCCCAACTGACTCTAGTTCCGTACTAGAGAATTGACACATGGTCCACCAGCTCTTTAAACCAGGAAACTAAAGAAAGGTAGGCTTCCTTTTCCTTCACCTCCTTCTTCTAACCAATGATCAAATCTCAGTATCTTCACTTCAATGCATTCTTCACACTAATGCCTAACTGATCTTTCTCAATTGATCATTCTCCTTCTTAAAATCCTTATTGGGTGCTCATTATCCCCATATCAATCTTTACCTTGTCCTATAAGGCTCTTCATAATTGGGTACATATTTCTGGCCTCCACTCTTAATTACTCCCTACCCGCTCCACACTGTACTTCAGCATATTGAATTACACTCAGTTCCTGGAATGTACCTTCCATTTAACAATATTTTGCATAAACACTTCCTCCTCCATTCGAGCCCACCCATCCCATTCCTGTGCCTGAAATGCCATCTTTATTACTTAAATCTCAGCTTAGAAAGGACTTCCTCTAGCCGGCTTACCTTCCCACAGGTCCCAAGTCCTTCCTATGTGCTATACCATCACAATAATTTCTACTTTTCTCTTCATTTTTTAATTAGAAAAAATTTTTTTAAATATGCCATACACCTAATGTGCAGCTCAAACTCCCAATCTGAGATCAAGAATTGCATACTCTACCAAGTGAGCCATCCAGACACCCCTCTACTTCTCTCTTCAGAGCCCTTAATCAAATGGTAGGTTACTTCTTTGTCTGAAATCCCACTGGATTGCGATCTCTGTAAGGGCCTGCACTTCAGGCTTTCCTGGCCTTGACCTTCCAGCAACCCATTTTGCACAACAAATCAAGAAAATCTGCTTGCTTATGTGAATGCCAGCCTTACTTTGTGCACATTCCTAATCCCCAGTCTTCAGTCCTAATTTTTATATATATTTTTGCAGATCATTGTAAATAGCTAATCATACCATCTTGTCTCATTCATGTTCTCCCCCATGCTCTAAGGCTTCTCCTGCAGTGGAAAAGAATGCGAGGTACCTTATGAGTGCCCTAGGGCAAACAACATTTGGAAAAGCAAACTGGCTTATTGCCACAAAAAACACAAACTCAGCGGATTTTTCTTTCCTCCTAAATTTAACTCAATGAAGAAAAGTGCTTACATCACCAAAACTTTGGAGACCCCAGGGAAGTCACTGACAGCTGATTTCTCAGTCTCTTCTCAAAGTGCTGCAGAGAACAAATACCTCTAGTTACAAGATCCATGCATTCACAAGTGGTGAAGGCACTGAAAAATCATAAAATACTGGGGCACCTGGGTGGCCTAGTCAGTTGAGCATCTGACTTCAGCTCAGGTCATGATTTCATGGTTCATGAGTTCGAGCCTTGCATTGGGCTCTGTGCTGACAGCTCAGAGCCTGGAGCCTGCTTCAGATTCTGTATCTCCCTCTCTCTCTGCTCCTCCCCTGCTCATGCTCTGTCTCTCCCTCAAAAATAAATAAATACATAATAAATAGATAAATAAACATTAAAGAATCATAAAATACTATCTAGAGATTCATTAAGATATGTTTATGATCACCATATTCTTATTTCAAATTTAAGACTGTCCTTCAAACACAAAAGGACATAGAAGCATAGCCTCCCCCTCATTTGGGAGAATACCTTGGAAGCACAAAAATTCAACTATGTGAAAATAAACAGTGAGAATGAGCTTAGAGCAAACAGAATAGTGATCTTCTGGAATTCAAATATGAAAGCAGCAACATCCAGCTCTGGCTAAACCCATTTGCTTCCTCTAGGAGCTATTATCTCAGGTCATAGCCCTTTTGAAATCTCATGGCTGGACTATAGTGAACTGGATAGAATGTTGCCATTTAGAACCAGTGTGCCCAGAGGTAAAGAGGGGGAAAAAATTGCCCCTTGGCTCCTAATTTCAATAATTCCTTTTTTTCTGTGGATATTTGTTTGAGGTTGCTTGAGGAGGGTGCTGTGATGGTCCAAGCTTCTGTCAATATATGATTGACTAGATCTGTTAGAAGAAATTGTCCATATTTTAGGAAACTTCAGTATGCCAGTGTTCTTTCTTTATTTTGAAGGAAGTAGTTTTAGAAATATTACTTGAGTATCTGGGAAACAAAATTAAATGCTTATTTACATGTAGCGTGAGTTAGCACTCACTGTCTAATAACTTAGATTAGATAACTTAGTATCTAATAACTTAGATAGACAGTGAGTAGCCTTTCCCGTCCACTCTTTTCCTACTGTGATTAGAAGGAAATCTCATGATGACCCATATTGAGTGATCTGTTCTTGCCTACTTCTCCAACTCTACCTCACTTATTGCTGTATCCACACTGACCTCATTTCATGTCCCTAAAATTTAAGATTCTTACTTGGCTGGCCCTTTGCTCATGCTGATCTGTTTGGAATG